GCTTGTGCGCATATAACTCTAAAGTAAGCTTTTTGAGCATTACAGGTATGAGTGCTCTTGTACTAGATTTTAAATCCTTTTTACCCACTATCGAAAAATATACATGAATTCATTTTAACAAAACGTTTGCAACACACAGATGGTCCGTGTGTGTGCGGTAAATAAAAGGGAATTGAACGACTGAAAATTACTATTGAAAATGGATGAAATCGTTATTGTACGAGGTAGGCCGTGACTGAGAACACTTCGGCTTTCAAAATTCAAAAAATTAAGTTTTTATCTCATTACCTATATCGTACATCAGATATAATAATAAAATATACAAAATTTACACGTATGTACTATGGGTGGCCAGCCTTCCACTACACATGTACAAAAATGAGAAACAAAAAAAAGGAGACACAGCCATTCAATATTATAGAATAGCAAATTTTCATTTTATTTTCTGGTCTCTTAATATCAGAAGAAATTCGCCTAGTGCCAAATATAATATTCTTACTTGCTATTGTTGAAAACAATTACTTTTCAACATATATTTGTACAAATTTGAAAAGTTCCTTTCCTTTAAATCAAATTCTTTTAAGAACTTTACTAACAAAACGAAGCGAGGTTGCATTTTTCGGGCTGGAATTTAACTTCCACATTTTACAACGCTTTATGGGAATTGTCCAGTCATGGTTTTCTATGTATAAAAACGTAAAAAGAAGACGCTTATAAATAAATATGTTTTTATTGTTTCTAGTTTTTAGTTTTTGTTTTTTTTGTAGTTTAAAAAAATATTCTTCAAATCAAATCAAAAAAATGAACGGGAAATGATTTTAAAATAAATCGTTGGAAGTGAATTTCGCTGACGCAGTAAAACAAAGCAAAAGAATTGATTAAATGGATTGATTTGCTAACGCTGGGCTTGAGAAACGCAATCACGCTTCATTGCGTTTTCTCACTTAGCCCCCACAGATCAGACTAACCGCGTCGATTAGTCGATTTTAATAGAACTAAAAATGTAAGAATTGAAAGCATTATATCATATGCTATGATTATATCATACTTCGTTCTGGCTTCGTAACCGAGTTGTCATTAAACAGATATAGGGTTAAACTGACTCATTTAATGCGCTTTCAATAAACTCAATTATGTATAGTACTTGCACAAAAAAAAAAAAGAAGAAGAGATTAAGTATAGTTTAAACCAAATTTGTTGCTATTGACGATCCGTTCACTTTACATGGCTACGAGATCTCTCAATTCACTCATTTGTTTTCCATGTATTCCAAGTCATAAAATTTATTAGTCCACTGCAACTAATCAACGGGTTATTTAAGATTAGTCTTCAATTTGAATACACTATGTCGACTTTCGAAACCCAGCTTGCTGAGCGTTCCCTTTGTTTTTTTTTCAATTCTGAAATACGATCTTTGGATTAGATTTGATGCACTTTTTTATCGTTTTTAAATTCCATCAAAAAAAAAACACGTCGTGAAAATGAATAGATTTCGGATTTTAAAGGACAATGCGGTTTTCTTTTAACTTTACATAAACTTTACGGTTTTCAAGCATTTTTTATAAAAATCGTTTGAAGTAAGTAGTCAATGGAGAGGATGTAAGTTGGAAGTAAAATTTCATCGCTAATTGTGGACGTACTAATCTACAGATCACGACTATTTTTGTACCGAACATACAGTTGATTCTGGCGAACGTTTGGCTAGCAGTTATTCAGAAATATGTTCATGGGATTGAAAAGCGTAGATGATAGGGTGAAAAAATTGTTGATACATTCCGAGATTCTTTTAATTTCTCCTCCATTGTCGGCGTTTATGCGAACAGATCGAGTCCATTTTTTACTTCATCCTGATCGATCAAGAAATGTTTGTGCCGTCGAAAGCCTAGATATATAAAAAACGTCCATAAATCTAGTGTCAATGCACCAAATATATATATTGCACATCATTTTTATGCAAAGGCATACTTTTTGTCAACGACCTGATAATGGACGGTATGTAAAAAGTCAAGTGGCGTGATCAGCTCAAAAAATTGTCCCATCTGATCCAAATTTTTCACATCAATTTAGAATGACGAAATTCTCTCATTTAGCCATTTTTGTTGAGGAATTTTGAATATTACGATTTACATTTTTATGTAAAGTCTTTACAAAGTAAAACTGTATACGGGAAGTGCTCGAAGAACTGTTCGCACTAATGCGAGGTATAGAGGAGAGTTTTGCTTGCAGTGTAACACCTAAGGAGTTAAAAATTTCAACGGCGCCGTAGATTCTGAGTCAGCGTCAGCGTGCCAATTGAAGACACCAAGGCCGTCAGCGTATTCTAATATCAAAACATTCTTAGATAAAGCATTAAATACATCAATAATGTACATATTAAAGCAAACCGGACTTAATACGGAACCTCGAAAAATATCTATATATATGTAAGATTGTTTTTATAGTGAAGGAGCTCATATATCGGGCTACATTGCGCAGATCGCATTTTAGAGGACTGATATTGACTGAGTCACGGATCAAGTCCAACAAGAGCTTGAGTTTTGAGAAAAGTAAAAGTTTAATAGCTGAACAAGGAGCGACGATGTTATCGCGGGCAAATGAAAGTCGCAGAGATTTTTTTGAGAGTTTTAAACGTGAGGCTGGTATTCTCTAAAAATGTTTCCTAGCAGCAGCAACTAAGGCGATGCTTCTATTCAGATTTTACGGTAAGTAGTTCTTCTTCTTTGTTAAAGTAACATTTGGGATGTTATACCAGTTTGACGGCATGTAACACCCTCAAAGCTCCCTTAAAAAAAAAGAGGTTGTCAGGTCACTGATCCAATGATAACCAGGCCACGATGGGGCTAGCAAGATTCAGATCAAGAAATTCATTACAGTGTCAATAAGACTATATAAAGTCTCTTTCGGCACAATCGTGAAAAAACAAAATAGCAACCATTTTAATATGAGGTGGTAACGAGTTTCATAACTTTAGCTTATAGCCTTGATAATGCTAAGTACTTAAGGTCAGGTAGGATTACATTCATTGTTTAAAATTCAAATATAAATTTACAGAGAAAATTTGCCTAAAAGAGTTATTAAGATATAAAACTTCACATACGCGCTTATAATGAAAATGATAAATTCAAATATTTAGCGTAACGATATCTTTTCCGCCGAAATACTTCAAAAACTTTACTTTATAAATGTCATGTTTAAGACTGCGTTCTAATTTTTAATGTAATGTTTTTTTCATTTAAAATCGAGATAAGTTAAAAGGGCTCCTACTTTGACATACATAAAATATTGGAAATTATTTCAAGAGAAATGTACGAATGTTGCAAACCCAGCAAATCAAAACTTTAATTATATCACCTTTTTCCATGTAGTATATTGCAAATTATAGTAATATCCAGTATATCGTAAATTCATTGTTCTGATGTTTAGAGAATTCTTTTATATTACAAAATACGAAAACTAAGAAAACTAGAGTTAACTCTAGTTATGCATATGTATACATGAGATATGCGATTACTTTACTGGCAATTAGATACTAGACTAGTGGCAACTCTACATAGAGTACTGCTGGCAACTACTACATACTACTACTAATGGTTACGTTCTTTACGAAATAAGCGTGGTTAAGAAAGAAGTATTTCGGGTGTTTTTTACGAAATATTTTATTTAATTATTCTTCGTTTAAATGACAAATATATGCAAAAACCTTAATTAATTTATCGCAAATGCATAAATATGTATTTATACATATATATTTGTGAAACACCAATGGTGTTTGAAGCATATAAAATAAGACGAAAATTTTGAAGTGAATTTTTTTTCTCAATAAAAAATTTTTTTTTTTTATTTTTCTATGAAAAGAACAGTTGTAGGAAAAGGTGCCAAAAGGAGTAGTGAGAGAAAAAAAAAGACAAAAAGCGTAATAGAAAAAATTCACCACAACTACTCAACCGGAATATGTTCGCAAAGAGAACAGTAACGATTCACTTCTTTCGTTGACATTTTACTTTAACATTGACATTTTAAAAATATAGAAAAAAAAGGAAGACAAAATAAGTAAAAAGACTAGCAAGCGGTAGTGTAACTTTTTTTGAGTTGTCGCGAAAAAACTAATTATAACGTAAAGAAAAAGCAAAAAAAAAGAAATATCAAAGAATTGTGTACATAATTCCTAAATTGGGTTGAACAAAAAATAAGGAGATTGTGCAGGCAAAGGTTGAATATGTTTAATAAAAAAAAATTAAAAAAATTTTCATCGCCATTTCCACCCCAAAATGCAAAAATGAAATATTTTTCCGATTGTCGTGCGGTCTCTTTCATGTACATATAGGCAGCTCATTGTGAAACTTTTTGTGTTTTACTGCGTATGTGTATATGACTGTGTGTATGCACAGATGTATGAATGCATGGCTGTATGTACGTGTTGTGCGTGTGTGCATGTGTGTGTAAATAAAAAGGTGTAGTAGTAGTAAGTGAACGTAGTATTTGACTCAAGCGCGACAAACCTCTGTCAAGTTAAGAGAAAAGAAACAGAACACATAGATTTTACACTATATATTTATGTATTTAGATGCGTATGTAATATATATATCCTATGTGTGTGCGTGTGTGTGTAAATGTATATATATTATATATACATATATATATATGTATATATATATATAATGCAAAAGAAAGAAAAGTTAAGTGCAGTTGAAAAGAAAAGAACCAAATAAATTTACAAAATATTAATCAAAAATATAAAGTCAATAGTCGTAGTAGAAAAGGACACAAAAGAGCTTTTATAACAATTTTAATGAATTGTGTGTGTGATAATTGCAAAGAGTGGTTGTGGCATCGGCAGCAGTAGCAGCAGCAATTTGATTAGAAAAATAGATTCATAAGTTTTATGTGGATATTGGATTTGGATCCCATATATCTACTGTTCTGTTTCTTTTTTCTTTATTTTTGTTTTTCCATTTATCCTTATTTGATTATTCTTTTTCCAATATTTGACGATATTCAAGGATTTTTCGCGTTGTCTTGATTTCGATTAATGAAATGCATTCATTTGCAACTGATGCCATCATAAGTAGTCATCATTGATCATAGTTTTATTGTCTTTAATGGCTGCCAAACATATTGTCACGCGTTTATAACTGTTACTACTCTTCTTACTCTCATATCTGGCGATATTTAATCTAGCAAATGTAAGTTGAAATTTGTTATTACAAAAATTTCACAGAATGTTTTTTTTTTTTTTTTTTTTCTTCTATCATAACCTTGTTTTTATTTTCTTTTCGTTTTTAGCCATTGCTTTAGAATTGATTTATGTAAAATAATAGAAATATGCACTAAATACTTGAAAAAAAAGGAAAAAAAAAAAAACAATTGTAATATGTGTATGCCCAGTGTCACAAAAATTCTACTCTCTTACTCTGTCGTTGTCTCTTCCCGTCCTTTTCCGTTTCATTGTAAGGCTTTTATTTACCGCAAATTTAACGATCATCATTATCATTGCCTTTAGTTTTATTACAATTAATTACATAGAAAGACATAATGAAGATATATAAAAAACGATTGCGATTTTTAACCACTTGTCTCTCTTGTTATTGTTGTCAATTTTCTTATATTTGCGCACATTTAATCTTTCCCAGCTACTGAGTAATTTAATTCCTTTTCGACAGACTTTTATTAGACATTTCATACAAGTAAATATATATATAATTTTTATATATATATTACAAATTTATACTTGTATATATGTGCTCGTGCTTATTATTGTGTGCAGTGCTATAATCCATTAATTATTTCTATGTCCCATCATTATGTTTACATAAAGATGCGACGGATTTTAAGGTTCTCTTAAAAATGAAGAGGAAAATTTGTGTTTAGTTTTAGAGCTTTCAATGTATGATCTTGATTTATTACTTCGCGTTTGATCTTCAAACCGCCTCAATCCATAATGATATGGTATTTGAAGTCATTTGTTTGTACGTTTTGGTCATTGCACACAAAACATTTTGCTTTGTAGCTTTGGCCTGCACTGAAATGTAAAATTCCAAATATAATTTTGAAATGATATTCTATAAACGCCTAGTAGGTACCCATTTTTTGATAATTGCACCTATGAACACTTTCGAACGCTTTGATTCTTAGAAAGACGGAGAGAGAGAGAGAGAGAGAGAGAGAGAGCAAGTGATTAAAAAAAATTTGATTTCGAGTTTTTTTTCTCGTCAAAGCCAGAATCATTAATAATTTAAAAGGCCGACATCCGTATAAAAATCATTAAATCAACACCGTTATCCATATGCTAATTACGAATATATACAGATAAGATTCGATGACGTTCTGTTGCGCACTCTTATCGAAATCAGAAACCTTTTTCGAATTTATCTGTAGTGGGTATAAAATGAAACACAAAATATGGATCAGATCGGATAGAGCACTCTATTATTTGTTAATATTCGATTTCGAGACTAGTTAAAGTGATAGTTACCACTAATCCTCATTTTTTTTCTTTTCATTTTCAGAAAAAGGAATTACGGGACTTGCAAGACAAACCGTATATATCATATATACATATATATATATATATGTATATATACATATATATATTTATATATGTATATATATGTATATATAAATTTTAAAGCAAGATTCGGAGCTATTTTACTCATCTCGTTTGCATTCCATAATTATAAAGGAAACAATTCCTATAATATTGTTAGCTATTGTCAACTCGATTTCAATTGATAGCAGCAGCGGAATTAAGGTAGCATTTTTTGTAAGTGTTTATATTTGTGTGTACTTGTGTTTGGGGCCAAACTGTAAGATCTGTTTGGAGTGGACCCCCAGAGCCTGTCCGCAAAGTGTGCTTAGATTACTTTTAAGTAATAATTTTTGAATGGATCCTTTTGTCGGTTGGTTTCAAGAGGAACAGGAGGGTCCAGCATTACGCACATGGTGTAAAATTTGGGAAACCAATGCGCATGAGATGAGCCAATTGCTGGAGCAACAAAATCAACAGCTACAGCAACAACAATTACAAGGTGGTAATAAATTGAATAACGGTGCTTTAAGTGCACGTGATCGTGACTCCATACAACTGCTATTACAATTTGGCGGAAATTTAAGACATAATCTTAACAATAATAACGGTAACAACGGTAACGGTAACGGTAACAGCAATAATTCCAGTGGTAACACATCCAGCAACAATTCCATTGATTCGACAAGCAACAACGATTCGAGTCATTCGCATACGCCCGCCACCACACCCGGCGAACCGACAACATTAAATACGAAAATGCCTTCCCACGAACGTACGAGCTATTATAATCCATCACGTAGGAAAATTGGACGCATTGTTGATAACAAGGCGAGCACGTACAATTTAAATAAACACATGAATAATTTAATATCAAAGTACAAGGGCTGTCCGTGGCGTGTGCCTGATTTCGGCTACGGTCGCGGCGTTGTGGGTTTGCATCAGGAAATCGAACAATTTTATAATTATGTGCTGCCAACCCCGACTGAACATGCGATACGGAATGAAGTCGTGCAACGTATCGAAGCCGTGGTGCATTCAATTTGGCCGTCGGCCCTTGTTGAAATATTTGGTTCCTTTCGTACCGGTCTCTTCTTACCCACCTCTGACATTGATTTGGTGGTTATAGGTAATTTTTGCATATACCTCAAATAAATCTTATAACAATTAATAATAACAATAATTTTTCTTAATTTCTATAAGGCTTGTGGGATAAAATGCCTTTACGTACTTTGGAAACTGAACTTATTGCTCGCGGCATTGCAGAACCGCATTCGGTGCGAGTATTAGATAAAGCTTCGGTGCCCATTATTAAATTAACTGATCGAGAGACTCAGGTAAAGGTAGACATCTCATTTAATATGCAATCAGGTGTTCAGTCGGCCGAATTGATTAAGAAGTACAAACAGGAATTTCCCCTGTTAGCTAAACTGGTGCTAGTACTAAAACAATTTTTATTGCAACGTGATCTCAATGAAGTTTTTACTGGTGGCATTTCCTCTTATTCGCTAATACTCATGTGCATTAGTTTTCTCCAGCTACATCCACGTCAAGTACATGCTGACACCGATAATTTAGGTGTTCTGCTCTTGGAATTCTTCGAGTTATATGGCCGCAAATTTAATTATATGAAGATCGGTATTTCAATTAAAAATGGCGGCCGATATATACCGAAAGAGGATTTGCAACGTGACATGATAGATGGCCATCGGCCGTCGTTGTTGTGCATTGAAGATCCTCTTACGCCAGGTAATGATATTGGACGTAGTTCCTACGGCGCACTACAAGTGAAGCAGGCTTTCGAATATGCCTATCTTATGTTATCACAGGCTGTGAGCCCATTAAATAATTGGGCCAATGATTGCACTGAACGTTCAATATTGGGTAAGTGATTATAATCGAAACAAAATTTTCATATATTTTTTGAATTGCCCACTAAACGACTAGAAGCAGAACACGTAAACATGTCGTTTTTATGATATCGTTGTTCTGCAACGAAATGAGATTACATATATTTAGTTATGTAGTGGGTACATCGGTATAAAATTTATTTTTTATTTTCGTTCTTCTTTTTCACCCTTTCCATTCTTTTTATATCGTTAATTCAATTGTTTAGGACGAATTATACGCATAACTGATGACGTCATTGATTATCGTGAATGGATACGTGAACATTTCGAGCACCTTGTAATTACTCGGCATTCACCAGTAGCTTCTTTAGGAACACCCAGCTCAGGTAACGTGGTTGGTAATACAACTAAGTACATGCAAATTCAGTTGCTACCTTCTGCCATGTTGCCTGCTGGGGCGATAACTGCTCAACAGCAGCAAATGCACCTCATGCCGCACCTCTATCACCAGTCGCAACAACAACAACAAGCGAATGCAGTCCTTAATTCAATGCGTCATCGTCGTGGAAGCACTTCTTCTGGTGATGATTCGGAAGATAGCAAAGAATGTGATGCAGATTCGACGTCACCGACAGCGACTAGTGGCACCACAGTTAATATGGCTACAACCGCGAATATTCATTCGGTTACGCGGATGGATACATGATGAATAGTTGCCGGTTTGGTGCAGCAGCAGCAGCAGCAACAACAACAACAACAACAACAACAGCAGCAGCAGCAGCAACATCATCAACATTTACAAATGCAACATCAACAGCAACAGGTGGCTACCGCTGTTAACGCAAAGCTGTTACAGATGCCACTGCCGCAACAAACCCAGCCTCAAAATTTAACACAACAATCACAGCCACAACCAACAACTCTTATATCAACTACTACGGTAACATTGCAATCGCCGCCGTCAATGGTTTTGGAAGCCGCTGTTACTTCGACAACAACAACAACTACCATAACCTCAACATCGTTAGCGTTAACATCCACTATTACCACAACAACGGCTACCCTGATAAATACCAATATACAGCAAAACCGAATTAGCACTAATGAGATCAAAACGCAAACCTCAAGGACGTCGGCCTCACCACCTAGACAACACCAGCAACTATCGCAACAACAACAACAACAACAACAGCAGCAGCAGCAACAACAACAACAACAATCCGTGAAAAGTCATGGTTATTACCGTCAACAATTTTATGTACCACCCCCTATGCAGCAGCAATACCAACAACAACAACAGTTAACTAAATCCACGAATAACACAACGGCCGCTTCTTTATCGTCGACATCCATCTCAGGCGCAGCTGAGGGTTATGTGGGAGGTAATGGTAATTATCAATCGAACAATAAGACCCGTTATGCCGCACAACGTCTTTTGCAACAACCTCTGCAGATGAGACATCAACGTATACAACAACCGCAGCAGCAGCATTCAGCTACTCTACCCCGTTACAGCAGTGGCCATATGGCATCGAATATGACTTCCGCCTCTTCTACCATTTCTATAATATCTATCTCGTCAGAGTCTTCAGTGGCATCAGCAGGTTCTGATTCATCACATTCATCGGGTTCAGAACCGAAAACACCACCTACTAATGTAACGGGAGCTGCTGCTCTCTATAAAGCAGGCAAGTGTGATTGTAATATAAAAATATTTTTTATTTCAAAATTTAGCATAACGCCTTTTTTTGTTATTTATTTTTAACCTTTTTTAATCAAAAGAACATCAACAATCACAACACCAACATCAATCAACACAACATCATCACCAGCAACCACAACATCACCAACAACGATTTCATGATAAGAAGAAATCGAAAAAAGGTCACAAACATGGCGGCGGAGGAGGAAAACATAACTAGACAAGTATAATTGTTCCAAGTGTAAAATGTTTAAAAAATGCATTTAATAATTATACACATTAATGCCAAATGAAATTGAGAAATTGTGAAAAGAAATCTCCCAACTCTGCAAAATGTCTTGTAAAAGCCTACTGCTCCTGTATATTGGATAAGCAATAATTATGCTTCCGCTTATAATGACGTTACAACAACAACGAATTGATCTAGCGCCACATCGCCCTGCCTCTCTCATCCGTATATATATATATATATATATATATATATGTATAAATGAGAAGCCTATAGATAGCAATATGTCACCACAACAACAACCACCACCACCACCAAGCAAATATAATAATTATTTCCTAAAAAAGAAAAAAAAAAAAACAAAAAAGGACAAAAACAAAAATCCAGAAACAAAAAACAAACAAAAACAATTAACCGGAATATATTTCGTATGTATAGTTAGCTGATAATGTACGCGGAAAATTTAATATAGATATTGTTGTTGTGTTGTAGAAATTTATTGTAGAGAACAACACATATATGCATACACACAAACATATACTTCATTAATAATTAATTGACAGATTGAGAGAAAAAAAAAAAAAAAAAAAAAAGAGAGAGATAGATAGCTTAATGAATCTTGTGTTTAGAAAACTTCAAAAAAAAAATTAACATAAGACATTTTAAAGCGATATTTTCTTATTTATACATACTGCTTTTGCCCCTTTTCTTCCAAACTTCTTCTGTGTGTTGTAAGAATGTAGACGAAAGAGAGTTGTTCAAATAATAATTAATGACAAGTTTCGTCTGATTATTATAATTGTCTAGTTGTTGCATATGATAAAAACTCTCTGAGAATTTTGTTGTTTGTTTGTTTACAGGCAATTTACACTGATATATGATAAAGTTTTGATTAAAGTATCATAAACAATCTTATAAGTACTGATAACCGCTTGATATTGATATTTTTGTCGATTGCGTTACAAGCAATCCAATAACTGAACATGAAAGCGGTTTTGATAACTTGAGTAAATTAAAAGCCAATTAAGTCGCAATACTGTGTTCGCAAGAGACTATAGTGCAGTAAGTGCTAAATCAAGCTAAATCTATATATGTAATCAATTGATTAGGAAATTCGATTTTCCCTTTTGCGAACGAAATCGGATAAATAATATACTAACTGAACTGAACGGGAACTAAATAAAACTCTTATCTTTAAGAGCCACAGCTATTGAGGTTACATAGCAAAAAATATTTACAAGTCAATAGAATATGAATTAGTAATTTTTTTGTTTAAATATACTATTGTTTTATGGCGAATTTTCAACTCGTTGTCGCATACGATTTCCATTTCATGCATTTGGTATGGTAAACAAGTGTTGTTGTTTACATGCTTTCACGTGGTTTAAAACCGACTTGCTTTCCCATAGCAACAAGGAACTAAAACGATTGACGTACACAATTTTCGTGTTCATTATAAATCTTATTCTCCTTGTTTCTTCGGAAATGATGATGATATTCGGGTATAATAAATTTTTTTTATGATTATTCTAATACCCCAGAAATGATTGATGCTCCTGACTGGATTATTTCTGATAACTGAGTAGTAGTTACGCTACGTAAATTTCAGCACACTTATTGTTGTTGCATTCGGTGAAAAACCATGCATGGATCTAAAAAGAAATGGACATTGATTGTTCACAAATTTGTATATGACGACATTTGTAATTTAATTTCATTCTTCTCAGCGATTAATGCTTAGCTCCGATGGAAGTTGGTTGGAAAGTCAATTTCCCCCTGTGTTGGAAATACAATGAACCGCTCTAATTATTGTACTTTGCTAATTAAGAATACATTTAATATTTTCGAGAGGAATAAGGAAGACTACAATAATGCGCACTCTATTAGACGAGCCTACTTCCCACAAATTTCGAGACTTTTTCCGCATCTTCTAAATCTGCTTACATAACAAATTATTTGTGCTTCTTAGCGTTACGATCATTTTCGTTTACGGGTTTTTTGAATGCGTTAAAAGTAAAGTTTGCCTTTTTTCATTCCATGTATTTGAATAGCAAATGATTGCTGCTTCCGACGTCTATCGTTGTAGGATCAAATGTTTCCCTTCCCTGAAGTAGTGTCGATTTGTCATCACCTTTGTTATTCATTATTTGTATTTTTGTGGTGTTAATATATATATATATATATATATTTTTTTTTTTTTTTTTTTTTTAAATAATTCGAGTCGTCGTGTTGCCTGCTCTTAGCATACCTAACGGTATTTGTAAGACGGTTTAGGTATCCACTTTAGCCTACACAATCATAATTTGAACTGAACTATGACCTTGTAACCCGTATTATATTTAGTTTTTCAAATGTTTGCGGTTTTATACGTTTGTTATACCTATCATCGAACGATTGGGGCCGGGGGAGGTATATTCATTTTGGAGAAATGTTTGCAACGCCCACAAGGAAGCTGCCGAGACATCAGAAAATATTTATGTATATTCTTGAGCAGCATCAAATTCTGAATCGATTTAAGCATGTCCATCTGTCCGTCTGTGTGTGATGCCTGTTGTAAACTTTCTTCTTCTAGCCGCAAAAATGAAGCTGAAAATTGGTTGTTTGCCTATTAGTCAAAAACCATAGCAGATGGTAGAGAAATTCGGGCACATATTCTATGAGTGGCGCTATATTACCTCTACAAAAAATTGACTATGTCTATCCAATATTATAGTGTATCAAAATTTAATTTTTTTTTTTAATATCTTTATAAGAACCTTATAGTGCATATAAATTCTTGGCCAGTTTCAAATTTGTAATGCACCTAAATATGTCCGTCTGTCTGTATTTGTATTAACATTTTCCCGTTAGCGAAAATGAAGACATCGCTTACAAATTTGCAAAAGAGTTGACTTTTTCGAGAACACGCCTCTACAATGCTCGCACGCTTATATGACAAAAGGCTTTATTTTGAATATAGAAAAAATTAACCGTGCCCACTCGATTATTATAGAGCATCAAAATTTTACTTTCTCACTTTTGTTGTTTTGTTTAGAATAACGGTGATGGGTGTAAAAGATTCGTTCACGACCGAATATAATTTTTTTATTTTTGTCTTATTGTCATTAATTTGCGTCTTTAAACAATCATTATGAATAGGTTTAATTAAACTTTTTAAAAAAAGATATTATCAACACTAGAACTACCGACGTTTTCTCTCTCTATATATATATATATATATATGTATTTCTACCAGAGTGAGTTAATGTAATTCACTTTGACACATTCATCCATCGATTGTAAAGATAAGGTAAAAATACGAGTGCGTTCTTGCCATTGACATGGCGACAATAGACGAGAAGTTGTGTCAATTACGAAGAAGATCTGAATATATTTCAGGAACGGTGCTACAACGATATTTGTCAGGGCCATCCATATGGTCGGCCCAGAAATATGTCTTGTTAATAACCCTACACTCAAGAATTAAATAATTTAATTATCAGGCATAAGTTTGACAAATGCACACACACATACATACACACACGTAGATATATTCATTACGTTTATTGCAAAAACAATAGGATTTGGCAATGTTCGTATCGAGAAGAACCTTTTTTTTTTTTGAACTTTTCAACCAAACATTCCATCGTTTCGAATTTTTGTTCTTGGAAAGTTGTTTTTTTTTTTCTCATCGTACTCTGCCCTTGCAAGTTTTAACGCGTTCATTAGCAAGTTCCTGTGTAATTTGGATTCAACATTTTTTTATGCTTCTGTTTTTATTACCGATTTTTCGGTGTAAAATCCATTCCTTGATTTTTAATAGATGAGTTTCATATTTTCATAAATCAGTCCAAATCTATTCGTTTGCGAGCGAATTGTCGCTCTTCAATTTTTCGAATCAAACATATCTAAATGATGTCTTGGAGTCAGTCTCTCTATACTCTTATTAAACGTTCCGCGAAAGAAGGAAGTCAATTTGCGGCTTACGACTCCTTTAACTTTCGTCAGGTGTCTATTTTAACGCTGCCGAAAACTTCTTAACGAGATGATGACTCATCTTGGAATTATTGTCGTTATTATAGTAATTAAATTTTCTCAAAATAAAATTCAAATAGCATTAAACGGTAAAAGAACGAAGAATAGTAATTAAAAAATCGTTCAATAAACATAAACACGGAATGAGTACGAAATCAAATATTTAACCGTCAAGTACGAGCGTATTAGTGAACCGAGGCGTACCAATGTAGGGACTACAATAATGTTATGTAATAAATGTTCTAGTGACATTTGTTGTAAATAGTAGACAAATTGCTTTAGTTTCTTGTCTGTTGTGGGCGTGTCTTCAGCCAGATCCCGTATAATAACTTTTTGCTTAGTTAACGGTGCAATACGTGCGCCAAATTTTAGCATCAAAGTGAGTCGAATTGATTCGCTTTGGTAGAAATAGATATACGTTAACGGATAAGTGGATATCCGGAAACCGGGACAGGTAGGATAAAAGTCAGTTAAAAAGGATTTAGAAGAACATGCATGGCTTTATAAGTCGTTTTATTTTTTTCTTTGAAGCTCGAAAATTGGAATGAACGAAATTAAGAGGGGAAACCGGAAGCAAAAATATTCACAGATATTGAGATATGAGAATTTCTGTTAAATGATCATGTTGATAATTAATTGACCCACAAAAAACACAATAACAAATAACAAACAAATAAATATATATGAAAAAAAAAGAAGAAAAATACACATAGAAAACTGTAAACATAAACGTATTGTAATAATAATTAATATTTAGAAGATTTTTCAGCAAACGATGAAATAACGTAAAATGTAATAATTAAATTTAAATGAGTGTTGACGATGATGTGAAGAGAGTAAATCATTGTAATGTTCATAACGACACTTCTTTATTACTCTCAATGTTCTTCCTTATCAGTAGCTCGTATCAAATCAATTAAATTTTTTTTTTTTTTTTTGGTTCTTTTTTTGTTTTTTCTTTAATAGGCTTGATAAAGAATTTATTGAACATTTTGTAAAGGATTTGTCTAGCGAGCCGTTTACCCCCAAAATAATGGGATATGAATGAATTGTTGTTTAAATAATTTTATTAAATTTTTGAGAATGTATTTAATGATATTATTGATAGTCTATGTTATTATTGTAAGTGTACAGTTATCATTTTTTTTTTTTTTTTTTTCCTTTATATATTATACGTGAAATTTATTTTTATTTAAAATATAAGAAGAAAAAAAATATCAGCAGCATATGATATGATATGAGAAGAATTGCATAAATAGCGTTTAAGAAATTTTTTAAAGAAATTATTTCAATATATCAATTTGAAATGATTG